AAATTTGCCCTAAACCAAGAGAAAGTAATTTTCTCCTCCTCTTCTGCTCCAAGCAGAAGTGACTACTCAGAGGCAGTGCAGAAGCACTGTCATCAGAGAGCTACAGATCACAGCAATTCTAAACCTACAAGAAGGGCAGCATCTTTATTCCCGTGCTTCTCTGTGTCTCTTGAAGTTATTTTCTTAACTTTCAACAACATGAGGTCTTACACCACATCAAATATGCTTAGATTCTTCCCCCAACCAGATTCTCTTACACTGCCTTGCAGCTTTGTGCAGCCACATACCAGGCAGATCAGTGGCCATGTCCTCCTAGACCTTAAACTTTGAAGAGCAAGAGGTTTCACAGTGAGCAGCTTCCTTTGCCCAGTGATTGCTGTCAGGAGCCTGCCTGTCCTTTCTGCTGGACCAGGCTCATCCTGGGAACACACCAGGGAACTGACCACAGCATCAATGTCTTTGGTGGCCCCTCTAAAGTCTTCATTGCCCTGCGAGTTTGGGTGAGGTTAAGCTGGAAGAGCAGAAGCCACTGCCCATGTGCTTGCTCTTCCTTCCAGGAGGACTTTTCCATGCATCAAAACAATCTCATCACTGAATTGCATCACACAAAGCACGTAAATAAAGAAAGGAAACATAGGAAGATATTTTTAAGCCTTGTCAGACCAGTGGACAAAATAGAGTATTCAGTGATATTGCTCACATGTTCCTCTTCCGTCACAAACCAGCACTTCCCAATTCTCTGAAATTCAATTCATGAAGAATCAAATGCAGAAGTAACTTTTCAGAAGTCGAGCTTTTTGCTGTTCCTAAGCCCATTCTCGTGAATTCTCATGCCCTTTTGTTCTTCTGTTATATGTTGAAAAGCAAGAGTTGTTCCCAAGAACAGCAGTATTACAAAGGGAGCTGATGAAGAAATAGCCACAAGAGAAAGACAAGAAAGAAGGCCCTGGTTACAACCCAGCATCAAAGAAATCCCTGTGGAGGAATATAACCACCCAGTCAAGTAAGTCAAAGCCACCACAGGATTTTCCTAACCTATCATACTTAAAATTTCACCTACTCTCAGTTTAAATCATTCAAGTTGCAGAAAATCATCTTTCAGCCTTCCAGGTCCTGGTACTATAATCCTTCCCCAATAAGCTAATAGGAATTTCTGAGTATCATTCCCATCTACCTGCTTTCCTAAATTTCAACTATTGCCTCCAACTCTCCCTCCCTCAAGCTTAGCTCTTGTGCCTGTACACAACCCATGATTTCCTCAGACATACTTGCAACTTGCTTGCAGAAGAAAGAGAAGCCTTTATTTACCAACCTTGTTCCTTTCTCATCCTTATTTTTACACTACTTCTATCCTTGCAAAACCAGGAGCCTTAGCAGAGCTTTGGCTGGGATTGGAGGACTGTGATTTCTGTCCCAGAATACTGAGCTCCTTCTCCTGCAGCTTTGAGCTCCTAGAGCTCCTCATGAGCTTCTTCATTTTCCTTGCACCTGGCACATCTTTTCTACACTGTGGACTGCAATCATGTTCCCCAGGCTGTCTCTTTTCCCACAAAAAGGAGAAACCTGCTAACACTTCAAACATTGCTGCTTGTGCAATGCAGGAGGAGCATCACTGTTTCAAAACCTACAGCATGATGAAACCTCCACTCCCATCGCTAAGCACCACATTCCATTAGGGTTTATCTTCACTGGCAAGCACCAAGGACCTCCAAATTTAGTTTGCTGGTGCTGTAGGGTGAGTTGAGAGTGGTTGTAAGGCAGGATTGATGAGCCCCTCTGTTTGCAGGCATGACACACCTCCACTGGGCTCCCCTCCACCCTGATACTCTCTGAAAGGACAGAGGCTCACCTGCCAGCAGCTCCTGCAAAGAAAGCACCTGAAGGGACAACAAGGCAGGCCCTCAGACACTGCCACCATGCAAGTGGGGAACACTGTGCCAGCACACAACCCAAAATGAATTTTTAATGTTCACCTTTTTTTCTAACTCCTGGCCTGAAGGCCTCATGTAGTTCTGAGGAAATGACCTACAGGGGCTCAACCAGTTTGTAGCTCCAGTGCTGCAGTGCAACCCTTCACAGCCCCCTCGGATAGGAACCCTCAACCCTGAGCTCATCCAGAAAGGCACATTTTTTTAGTCAGAAAGAATTACCCTTTTTTTCCCCGGATTAATGTGAAGAAAAAAATCTAAATCTGAGTGCTAACCACAGCGTCCAACACATGGCAGGGGCAGGTCAGCAAGCTGCTCCAACATGGTACTTTCCAGAAGGCATATCCTGGCCACTGGTGCACAGAAGCCTATATTTTCCTTAAGAAAAGATACAAAAAACCTCCTAGAATGGTGCAACATGGTGAGTGCAACTCTTTGCAGTGCTCAGCATCAGAAGGCCATCTTTGCAAAGGGGGAGAATCGTGCCCACCTCCCCGCACCACAGTCTGAGCCAGGACATTGCTTCCCTGCAATATCTTGGAGATGGAGGTGCTTCCTGATGGAGAATGCTCTCCTCACCCACTTGTAGACATCCCATAGGGCTCACACACCGAGATCCCTTCGGGATCAATGCATCCCTTTGAGCTTGAAGACTGCTGCTCTCCCCATCCTTGGTTAGCAGGCTCCTGCTGATGGTTCCTACTGCTGCATCATTATCTGCTGTCTGTCTGTGAGGAGCCCTCAACACTTTTCTCTGACATCTCTTGGATGTCACTTAACTGCATTGCACATCAGGTTTTCATTTTTTTGGGAAGCTGAGAATTCAGGAAGCTGGAAGCAATTATGAGAACCAAGTATCTCAGGGCCACAGGCAATTTTTTGCCAATGTAGAGATGTTGTCCCATCTTCCATCTCTGAGGAGCCCTGTGACTTTCCTCTCCTCTTTTCTGTCCTTGAGGCTGAAGCAGAAGCCATTCCTCCCAGACAGCTATTCCACAAGACAAAAACAGGAGGGGTTTTCCCTCTCACAGGCCCAAACCTCAGGAGCGAAAAACCCCGCTTTGCTTTTGAGCATTGCACCAACCTGGGTAAATTCAGAGCTGTTCTAGAGAAAACAAAATGAAGCAGAGAAGCACAAAACATCATTGGACAGTGTTGGAACACCAGCAGCTTCTTTTCCCACTTCCTTTTCTGTTACTATTTCTCCTGCTAGATGCTTCTAAAACTCCACATTTGTAGCAGGGTGCAGAGGAGGAGTAGATCTAGGAACGAACACGGCATGATGAAGCATCGAGGCCTCCAGGGCTGATGCTCCCATGCAGACCTGTGCTCTTAGCTACCTGAATTCCCCCAGGGCCCCCTCCAAGCCCCTAACTCTGACTTACCCCCAAATTCCCCAGGGACTCTGCTCTGACCCAGTGCTACATTTGTGATTGCTCTGAAATCCCCCAGGGCTGCGGCTCAAAAACTACCACTGCTTTCTCCCATAGGCACCAAGGGGGAAATTTTTGTTTTCCCTCCATATAAGAGGTGCTGGTACCTTCTGGGGTGAACAAGGGCTCTGGAGACCTGGTGTGGAGGTGAGTGCCAGCTGGTAAAAATGTTCAGCTTCCACAAAGTGCAATTACAGCCATGCTCAGTCCTGTTTCTTGCTCCTGGGTTGTTATCCTATCCCTTCCTCATCCACTGACTAGACTCCTTCAGCTGCCTAACCACTAGCAAAAACAAAATCAAAGGATAAAGCAAGGCAGTGGGATCACAAGGCACATACTGCTGGACATAGCAAAGATCAGCCCTGATCTGGGAGAGGTTGAGGCCCCAGGGAGCTGATCTGGGCCATGCTGGAGTTGTGGAGAAAGCGTTGCCCCCCAAATACTGAAGGAGGTTGTCTAGAGGAGACTCAGGGGTGACCTCGTTGGTCTCTACCTCTCCTGCAGTCTCTTCTACCTTGCCTACAGGAACCAGCCTTAATCTGGGACAGGGGAGACTCAGACTAGATATCAGGAAAGGTTTTTCACTGTTAGGATGGTCAGGAATTGGAATAGGTTGTCCAGGGAAGTGATGGAGTCACCAGCCCTGACAGTGTTCAAGAGGTGTCTGGAAGTGGTGCTGTATTATGGTTTTGTGGTTAAGGGGTTAAAGTGATTGTGCTGGGTGGATGGTTGGACTTGGTGATCTTGAAAGTTTCTTCCAACCCTGGTGATTCTGTTGGAAATGATGCAACTTCAAAAATTTTTTATGTAACTTTAGTCAGGGTTTTGTTTGCCTTTGCCCAGCGGGAGGGGAACTGAAGTTTCTCTTTAAAAGATTCTGTTCAGAGGTTGGGTGAGGTCTGACGAGTTTAACAGCTACAGACTGGGTGTTGCCAGAAAATACGCAGGAGGTAAATGAACATGAATGAACATTACCCCGGATGGGGTCAGAAACTCGTGGTCTGAGAAAAGATTGATAGGAGAACCAAAGAATGAGGACCTAATCAGCATCAAAGGTGAAGAGATCAATAACCAAGAGAAAATAGAATACTAAGAATTGTGTAACTTAGGACCAATGAACGTGAATGTCTTTGGAATTTTTTAATGTATAAATTCGTGAGAAGTCTAGTAAGGATTCACGTATGGTGAAATGGTTTTCCGTGCGCAACCCGGACATGAGTGGATGACATAATTTCTACTGCACATCCTGGCCAGAATAAAGCAATGCCGTGTTTTTCTAACACTGGAAAGATGTTGTCAGAGAGTTCCTGTTTTTCCCGCAGTTTCAGCAGCAGTTCTGTGGTTCTATAAGGGGGTGGGCAAAGGAGCAAAGATTCCGGGCAAAGGCTGGAGGCTCTGCTCAGGCTGCAGCAAGGAGGGGAAACAACCCAAAGCTGAGGAAAACCCTCCCGAAATCTTTCCCCAGCGCAGACACAGAGTGGGATCCTGCTCGTACAAAGGAAATGCTGTCATTGCCCTTTTGTTTTTTTTTAAAAAAAACGAAACAGTTCTTTCAGTCCAGTTCATTTCCAGTTCACTTCCCCGGTGCCAGTTTCGATTCCGAGCGCTCGGCGCGGCTCTCCTGAGGGCAGCCCCGAAAATGAAAGCCAGCCAGCCTCTCCTCCTGCGCCGAGCCGGGCCCGGGGGGCTGCCAAGGACGGCTCGGGGGGCTGCCACAGAGAGCCCAGGGGGGCGACAAGGAGGGCTCGGGAAGCTGCCAGAGAGAGCCCGGGAGGCTGCCAAGGAGGAGCCGTGCCCGCTGACACCGCCCAGAGAGGCCGCGGGGGGACGGGCCGAGGGGAGCGGCCCGGGATGCGCTGAACAGGCCGGACCAAGGGCTGCGGAGGCCGAGCCGCGCCCCATGGCCCGGGGCAGGTTCCCCTGGGCTCCTGGAAGTCTGCTGGAAGTGGTGGCCGGGCTGGCGGCGGTCGCGGGGCTCGCTGTGTAAGTTCCCGCGGGGCCCGCAGCGGCCGCGGGGCCCCGGCTCGGGGGGGGCTTCGCCGCTTCCGCTTCTCACAAGCGAAAAGGAGAAGCAAACCCTGAGCTGGGGAGGGTTTTTGTGGGAGGGCGTGGTTGGTATTTCATGGCTGAGGTACCCGCGGGGTGGGAGCGCTGCCTGTGTGAGCAGCCGCTGTTGTAGCCTGCCCGAGGAGCGGGGCCGAGCGTCAGCGCCATTGCCTGGCCCTGCCCAAGCTGTCAGGTCAGCCACACGTTACCCCGTTCTTTTGTACTTTTGTACCCCCGAGGGTCAGCCTCGCTTTACCCCAGGGTACAGAAGCCGCTGGGTGCTGATCTGAGCTTGCTTATGCACTCAGAAAGGCAGAGAACATGGTTGTGGTCACATATGCTGCACATGGTTCAGCAGTTCTGCTCTTGGTTTTTGGTTTTTGAGCCGGGTATGATGTGCAGCATTATGCTGGGCTGCTGCCAGCACCCCAGCAAGACATCTCCAGGTGCCCCTGGCCCAGGGCTGGGCTGCCCACGAGCTGCCACACACTTACCCACAGTAGGCAGGTGCACAGGGTACACCTGCTGTGAAAAAATGCATCCTGTGGGTGAGACTTGCGTGCCAGGCAGGGTATCCAGCCTGCTGGAGCTTAGCAGGACAAGCCCATACTGAACTGAGAAAGATGTAATTCTCCTTTTCCTTCTCTCTTTTTTTTTTCTTAGTGTCTTTTACATTGAAGTAGTCGGACGCAAAATGTTTCCTAAGGAGGTGGAAAACTATGTGGCATCCATAGTGCTGAGTGCAGTTGGTGACACGCTGGGATTTAACAATGGCAAATGGGAGTTCCAGCTGAGTGGCCCAGTCATCCACAAGGAGCTGGCAGAGATGGGAGGACTGGGCAACTTCAGCATCCAAGGCTGGAGAGTCAGCGATGATACCGTGATGCACTTGGCCACGGCCGAAGCCCTAGTAGCTGCCGGGAAAAACCCAAGCCTACCACATCTCTACTCTCTGCTTGCAAGGAACTACAAGGAGTGCATGAATGACATGGAGGGAAGAGCTCCAGGTAACCCCTCCATGGCACTGTCTGGGTAGAGCTGTGCTGTTGCTCGTGTGTCTCCTGCAGCTTGGAGTTTGGGCTGGCTCCGGCTCTTCTTTTGGCTGTTTAGAACGTTAACTGCATTTCACACAAAGGCAAAAGTGTCCCGCACTTAATGCCAGTTTCAGGATGAGCTAAAGAGAACAGAATAAGGCAAGCTGAAGTGGTTTGGGCTTCTCTGAACTAGATGAAAAAGATACTGTTTTGCCCACATTTATAAAACATTCTTATGGGTGTGTTTGAGGCCTAGCCTCGGGCTTGGGAAGGGTGATGACTTTTGCACTTGGGATTCCTACATTCAGTGGATAAAAAATGCACATTCAATGACTGTAATGCACACCCTGAGATGCTGTGTTAAAGCAACACTTTTAAACAGAGAATACAGAACTTCTTATCATAAACACAACAAATTACATGTAAAATATATTTAAAGGCACAAAAATCCTTGCTTGGCATAATTACACTTATTAAACCCTAAGTCTGCTTGTGGCTAGCTCTGTATGCCTGCTTTCTGCCACAGCACAGTCAGACCACAGTCTTCTTTTCTGAACCCTGTACTTGCATCATCTCTCTTTTGTCTGCATAGACACAGTGGTGCTGAGTTTGTGTCACATGCCAAGACATGCACAACACATCCCTGTGGTTCCTAGTTCACCCGGCCCTCCTGACCCAGCTCTTCCCCGAGGATTCCATCTGTCACTGTGCTCATGGCCCAGGCTCTTCTGGATGCTTGGGATTACATTTAAATTGGAGCTGCTTAGGCTGGGCCTCTAATTTGACCAGCACAGGAAGCGTGAAGTATCCAGGAAACACTCAAATTCAGCAGTCCTGTGCAAAGTTTATACAGTGAAATTGTATGTATTCTTAGACATGCTTATTTGGAGTGGCCAGACTATGTCAAGAGTGTTCTGTCTTGACATTAAACATGGGAAAGGCCAAATCTTGCCACTGAGCATAGTGTATTGGAGCTGTGCATTTCCAAAATAAACCAGGTTGGAAACTTGAACAGGAAATTTATTCTGCTTACCTTTCCACAGTGGGTTCCTATCCTTGTGTAAAGAACTAAATTATCAGTCTTCTTTTAACACCCATATTCCCAGTTGTTGGAGTGGCCTAATTAATACAATATTTAGGAAGGGGTTATGATGCTTGTCAGGACAGCCGAAGTTGGCAGACCAGACTTCCAAGAGATTCACTGCAGTTTTGGTGAAGCAGCATAGTTTAGTTCCCCCAGCCAAGATGGGATAACCACAGCTGGCAGTGAGACAGCACCTGGATGGATTTTCACTCTCTAATCTTGGTGACTAAAACCTAAGCTGAAAAGGAGAAGAACCTAAAATTTAAATATTAGTAAATAATATCTTTAGATAATAGGGGACTTACTGCCTTCCTTCTGTGACTAAACTGACCTTCAATATGCTCAGAAGTTCTCATTTGGAAGTGAAGAATTTGAAAGCAAACCTGGTCTGGACATTAAGAGGAGTGACAAGGAAAGGTCAGATTATCTAGGTAAATAAAGAAATACATGTTGTTTAGTGGATCCAAAGACAATTTAACATCTTACAATCATAATTGCTTCTGCTGCAGCTACAGGAAAGGCATTCAGCTCTGAGAGTTTAAATCCTAACCCTTAGCACTTTAAATCCCCCTGAAGGGAATACCTAATCCATACCCTGAAAAGCTGTCTGCAGTCTAGAATCTCCATGCCATTTTGATAAATCCTAATGATAAAAGCTGCATGCCAATAACTTCTTTTGGCAGTTCAGAATAAATGTATTTTGACTGAGAACATAACCCACGGTGGTGCTGTTCTGGCCCAAGTACTCACCAGGGAACTGCAGCCCTGAAGGCTGAGAGTGGAAAGCTGCTGTTGGAACTTTTGCCCAACACAGAAGAGATTTCCTTAGAACAGTGAGGGAAAGTCACATTGATGGCTCACAGGAGGGAGCCCAGACCTGAAAACCCAAAGCTGCAGTAACAAAGGGATTCCCACAACGTTCTGAGTCACAGGACAGCCACAGCAGGGTCCCTCAGGGACACAGCCCCAGGAGAGAACTCTGAGGGTAGTAATTCAGTGACAAGGTAATCCCTACATCCACTATTGCTATTTGTGATGTGCCACAGCCCCATATTCATTGTACCTTGCAGATTACGAAGCCAATGAATTAAGCAACACAAGGTAGACATGCTTCTTTTTTAATGGTACAACTACAGCACTTTTCCAGGAAACCTTCTGCTTCAAAACTGTCTTTTGGTCCTAGTCCTCTCCCTTTGGAATTACTTACCACTGTGTTGTTTGTTTAACTTACCATTTTTTATATGTACTGAACAACCCCAAACAACTGTTACTGTCTATGCTCTTGAAGAGTTTGGGTAAGTGGAATGAAAACTTATCCCAAAAATTGAGTCCAACTGTTTTGAAACTTTTTCAGGTTGCCCTAATTCACACACTGCCTTTTCCTTGTATTTCTTCTTTCCTTGGACCAGTACCATGCTTTGGTTACTTTTAATTTCTTGTTGTTAGTACAAAGGATTCCTAACTAAGATGTGAAAGATTTCCAAAACAATTTCCTAATTAAAAAACTCCCTACAGATTTTTTAAAACCCGTTTTTTTAAAAAAAAAAAACTGATGTGATTCCAGCTTCGTCTTCCTAAACTGGCTTTCCAATTTTTTAATATTTTAACTGTTTAAAAGTGTGAGGGATAGTACTTGTAATACTTCATAAACTGTAGGAGTCTTAGCTGTCATACACTGCTTTGTTTTACACAACTTTTTCCACTTGCAAGTTATCAGTAGTAATCTCCTAAAATAATAGGCACAGGCTTAAAGCAGACAATAACCAGTCTCTTTCCATTTAAAGCTTTGTCGTCTTCCTTTTTATTTTAGCTACAAGTAGTGCAAGAGCAATCTCACTTTTTATCAAGGACTGAGGTGTGTGGTCTCAACCTGCCAAGACATGTCCTGAAGAAATGTTTTTTTCTCAAAGTTTCAGCAAGAGTAAACTTGGCTTTTGTTATGCAGATTTTGATTTTAAGCTCCCTGTGCTCTCTCTCCTCCCCCTTGCTTTCCTGGAATAAGTTGTCTTTTACCAGAATATACAAATAGAGTAGTTGGTACAGCTTTTTAAAAATGTGGCTCTGTTTGACAGGTTCATTTTAATGTCCTGTTACAGGTCATTGAGTACAATGCCTAGTATGGTGAGATTTTTAGAAAAATGCCTCAATTTGCTGTTAGTCATAATGAGGTTGGAAATTATGCTGATATCCCTCTTAACAATTTTGATACACGACAGCCAGCACTGAATTAGTAAACTACATGAAATTTAGAAGCCTGAACATGTTCCCACACTGAGACATCCTAAAAGCAAACTCACAGGCACTTCAGTTAGAGGCTGATGGTGACCGGTCACAGTAGAGCTAAAGACACTTGTCCCAACATGTGACATTATTCCTGGCAGTGGCCAGCTGTAAGTTATTTTTAGCACATGTCCAGAAGCCACTCATAAAGCTGTGCATGGATTTGGAGACATTTCAGTTACAAGAGTGCTGTAAATGTAGGCAGAACAGGCTGTCATAGACCAAACTCTACTGCCAAACATGTACATGTAAGTGCAGAAGCCGAGAGTTTGGCAGAGGACTTAGTGCAGTGCCTGGCTCTGATTAGCAAGGTCACAGATCATGGTGACTGAACTGCACCAAAGTAAGGTGAAATTGCTTGAGCAGGCTTCTTCCTTGCTACTCTATTTAGTTTGACTTCCAAAGTAGCAGAGCACCTCACTTTCAAGTTCATCAGCTACCTGTCCCAGTGAGGGAAGAAAGTGTAGGAGCAACAGTCTAGTTTTGGGGGTGTGGTAACAGCCAGTTGCTGCTGTTACCCTGAGAGAGGACTGAGGACTGAGCACACTGGGGTTGGTCTGTTGAGTCCACCTTTGCCATTGTCCAACACATTTAAACTTAAATGAAGCTGCTTGAAACCTGCCTTGATTTATGTCCCTGCTGGAAAAGAAATATTTCAGATTGGGCCAGAAGAGAAGACTAGGAGAAAAAAGCAAGCTAGAAGAGAATCAAAGATAATTCCATGTCCCAAACCTATTCCTTCTTTACACACAAGCATTTGGGCTTAGCTCTCAAAATATTTCACTGTCTTGACTGGGAAAGCTGGCTGGTGGCTCTGAAATGTGGGTGTTTTCTTTGTCCTATGAATATGTTGGATGAACAAGCGTTAGTCTGAAGAAACAGCACTGGAAGAAGCAGAGTAATTTCTTTTAAAAGTAAATAGCAGAAATATAAAAGAGATGGAGGTGGGCTTGCCTCATTTCTTATAGTCTTTCTGTAGTTACCCTTTAGTGGCAGTGTTTGGAGATGAACTAGAGAGCTGGACAAACCTCTGGTCTCACCTAGGACCACTGCTCTTCAGCTTATGGAAGAGGAGTACAGTATAAACAGATATGCAGACCGTGTTGAGGTGAGAGGTGCTACACTCAAGGCTTTCTGACAAACTTAAACTGCAGCAAGGGAGAGCTGGAAAATATTTTCTGTCAGTACATTTTCTATTAGTGAGGCAGTGGGAAAGATTCCTGAGGATTCAGAGTGGAGTCGCTACCTTTAGAAATCCTGTGAAAAAGCAGTTACCTAGACTTGACTTGTTTCAGAGATCCTACAACCTTTCTGTTTACAGAGAGAGAGGTATCTACGTATATCTGTATATATCTACTAGTATATATGTTCTATGGGTAACACAAAATGTAAATATAAACCATGTCAGTAAATGAGCAGTGGAGTGTTTCCTACCCCCTTGACCTTTTAATTATTTTCACAAAGAAAAATTATCACATCTGCTGGGGAGGACACAGCATGATGCTTCAGCAGTTTAAGTTAGGATTATGTATGTGAGCAGACAACTTACGTGTTTAAAAGGAAGCTCAAATCCCTTATGCAAAGCGATGCTTTCTTCCCCACTGCCTTGCCTGTCTTCCCCCGTTCCCAAGCTGTCTCCTGCTGCTGATGTTTGTTTCTCCTGTGGGGCTGTGTGGCTCCTGTCTCCAGGTTCCATGTCCCTGGAAAGCACCATGAAGCTGGATGCGGGGCGGCCGAACGGCTGGCGGATCCCGTTCAGCCCGCGGGCGGGAGGCTGCGGGGCCGCCATGCGCGCCATGTGCATCGGGCTGCGCTTCTTCCGCCCCGCCCAGCTGGACACCCTGCTCCAAGTCAGCATCGAGAGCGGCCGCATGACCCACCACCACCCCACCGGCTACCTGGGGGCCCTGGCCTCAGCCCTCTTCGCGGCTTATGCAGTGAACAGCGTGCCCCCCGAGGCCTGGGGGAAGGGGCTGATGGAGGTGCTGCCACGGGCAAAAGCCTACGTGCAGGAGGCTGGCTTCTTCGTGAAGGAGAACATGGAGCAATGGTGAGCTGTGCTCCCCGCACCGCCATTTCTTAAAGCCCTTGTATGACAGGGCTCATACTACAGTTTCACTTATCCCATGATGGTAAACTCCTAGGGCAGCACACACCTGCCATAGGATGAAACCAATTCAGAATAGCTTGACGTGGGGGGAAAAAAAAGGCAGGTTGTGTTTGGGTCATGCAAAAAATGTGATTTTTTGGGACCAGTATGAAGTAGGTAGACTTGTCATCTCATGCAACTGTGCTTTTACGAAAGGTGGCAAGCGGGGCTGGGGGACAGCATCAACCTTAGGGCTGAGCTCAGTTTGAAAGTTATAATCAAATCGACTGCCTATTCACTGCCCCTCTGTGTGCAGGGGCTCACATAGAGGTGGAGCTGCTCTGAATTTGTGAGGATGACTCAGTTCTCACTCTGAGCCTTTGAATCCTGCAGGTGCTGGGCTGCCTTCTCTCATGTGGCTGGAGGGAGGGGAAATCTAACTCACTGAAACATGTCCTTGTGCCTCTTACTGTAAATCACGTCCCTAGTTTTGACAAACGGGGGCCGCCTGCCATTTTGCCGAGCTCTGGCTCCGGGCTCTTGACGCGGCGCATTTTCTGCTGGTGCCTGCGTGGGTCTCAGCTGTGTGCCGCTGCCCTGGGACAACTCACAGCCGCTCCATCCCGTCCTGTTCGCAGGTATTACTTCGAAGAGCAGTGGAAAAAATACCTGGAGGAGAGAGGCATCTCGGACGGGGTCTCGCCGCCCAAGTTCCCCTCCAAGTACGGCGTGGAAGAGAGAGACTCGTTCTACGCGTCCCTGAGCTACAGCGGCTGGGGCGGCGGCAGCGGGCACGACGCGCCCATGATCGCCTACGACGCGCTGCTGGGCGCGGGGGACTCGTGGACGGAGCTGGCTCACCGCGCCTTCTTCCACGGCGGCGACAGCGACTCCACGGCTGCCATCGCCGCCAGCTGGTGGGGCATCATCCACGGCTTCCAGGGGGTGCCCCCCTCCCTCTACGCCCACCTGGAGTACAAGGAGCGCCTGGAGAAGGTAGCCAAGGGCTTGTACAGCATCCTCTAGGCAGGAGATGGCGGGGCAGCCCTCAGGCACGCTTACCCTGCGGCTGTCCCATGCTCGCTCGCTCGGTTTGCCAACCCACTGGATTAAACCTCGTGAACGTAAGCCAGAGCCAGACCTGCCTTTTCTCTGTGTGTTGGCTTCAGTGGAGAGGCCATGTTGGCACTAGTTTGGGGCTGGTGGTTTGATGGGAACATACAGTGGCCCCCAAGACATCCCTCCTGTGCTGCAGGGCGGCTGCACATCATCTGGTCCTTCAGAGGAGCAGGAGCACCCACTGCAGCCCTGCTGGTCATGCTGCAAACCTCAATCAGGCTGCCTTAAACCAGCATCCTGCCCCTGCAATGGGGGCACAGGGCACAAGCAGCCCACTGTGTCTGGTGACAACAGAGCTTTCTTAGAAAATTATTTCAGCAGAGGATATTCTTTGTTTCAAGTGAATGTGGAAAAAAAACCCCAAACCCAGCCTTAAAGCTGTGTGAGCAGTGCATTTTACCCAAATTCCAAACAACTTCTGCAATACAGGTAGGAGTGCATCATGCTACTTCCCTATTGCAGTGAATGTGGGAATTCAAGACTCCTGACCAAATTGTTACTTAAGGCAAAAGTGGGTAATGAGAATTAACAGGTTGCATTTTATATCAGCTTCTGTAGTGAACTGTATTCTGCTTTCATCAAGGTTATTAAAGGTAATTTGCTTAACATTTGCTATACGTAATTCTACTGAAATAAGGTTTTTTTTCAAGTCCAGACTATGACACAGCAAAGTGCTTTTACTGTTTTCAGAACACTTTCAGACCCAGTGTATCCCATTCAATAAAAAGACCTGACAGGCCTCTCTTAAATGTTATATTCTATTATGGCATGGGTTGAGGGATGGATGGGCTATGAAATCAGAGGTGCCAGGTGTCTGCAAGCTGCAAGAGAGAGATGTGCTACCAATGGTAGGGAGAGAAGTTATTGCATCAAGGAGTAGGGGCAGAGGGAGAGGGTTCCCAAGAGGAGGGCCTCAGCACACCTTTATGCTGTGAGTGCATATAAAGGCATATAAAAGCCCAGATCTGACAAAAACCAGCAGCAATAGGATTCACAATTTCAACACAGTTTACTACAGCTCTTGGGTGTATTGTATAAAACATTTTTTAGTGCAACATAGTACAAAGTTTTTGTTGGGTGTTTTTTTTTCACCTTTTTCTTTTTTTAAAAATTCCAAACAGATTTTTCCACATCATGCATGGACAGGGTCTCTCTCTTTCTTCTTGGGTTCGTTACAGAAAGTTACTGCAGAGAGAGTGGTTTGAAAAGCTTTGTGTTAAAACTCATTGCAGAAGAGTCTGCCTTATAAAAACTGAGAGAAGTTTGAGACTGGGCAACACACTGCCAGAGCAATGGAGAAATGTCACCAGCAGGGTACATTCAGGGACCACCATGGGAGCCACTTGCCAGGAAAGCCTGGGCTCTGTGCAGGAACCACAGGGCTGGAAAGAGACCCTGTCCACCCAGTGGGGCAGGGCATGGGGCAGGCCTCCAGGAGAGCCCTGCTCTGGGGCAGACAGGTTGGTGGAGTGTGGCTCAGGTGCAGAGCAGAGCTCTCCCAGGAAAGAACGGCTCCCGCTGACTTCATTCATTCTCTCTTCTTCCTTAAAGCTGAAGTGAGTTGTGGTTCCTGCCCAGGAGCAGTACGTACAGGAGATAGCACAGTTAGGAAACAATACCCACTGTCTGCAGCTGCAGCTGTTTGCACCTCGAATTCTTCATTTCCATTCACTTCTCATCCCACTCCTCTTTTTGCAGACGTCTTTGCCAGAAAGGGAAGACAAGTGTGCGGGTGTGTGATACATACAGATATAGGAGTGTGATTTGATGCATATGCTGGGTTCAGTAAGCAGTTACGTCTTGAGGAAGCAGACTTCACAGAGGGACTAGTGAAACTGGGGCTTCCCAGCAGAAGAAGAAGCCAGTGCTGTTCTGGTGGAGGTGCAGAGGTGGCCAACTTCAAATGCCTTAGCACGGGACGATCTGCAGCCACGTGGGTCCTCTCCCACACAGGAGCGAGGCTTCACAGTGCAGATCTCCTACCTGAAGCTTCACCACCTCTGAAACGTCAAGGCATCAGGGTCTAACTGACTTAGTGCTACAGAGCATCTGCTGAGGTCCCCTCTGCTCCCAAAGAGCAGTCCGACCCTCCGGAGAGGACAAGGGCTGTGGGTATGGCACCTCTCACATGTGAGGCGGGGGGGGTTTTGCAGCTGCACCTGTCCGCCCCCGGTTGGCTTCAGCCATGCTGCAAGAGAAGAAATGGCCGGATTTGCCAGGAAGACATCAAGGAAGACAACAAAAGGCCATTTTTGGCAAACATTTTCTTCCGCCAGACATAACACTTACAGGGGAGGAGGCGGTTTCCTCCACAGGACAGGGGTTCTTGGCATTAGGGGTTGCAGGAGGACAGGTGCCCCACGTGGCCAGAGCCCTGGTTTGGTTCACTGGAGCCATATCTTTCACAGAAAGAACAGCATTTCCTGCCACAGCGACTCTTACAAGAGCAGGTGACTTTGCCAGGAGGGGGAGCTTATGGAGAAATGAATTCTCTTCCTGAAGTCTCAGAAACAAATGGCAGATGCACGTACACGCAAGGGGAGGATTTCTCTTGGCTGAGGAGACAGGGAAGTCCTCAGGGTGCTGATGTGGTGCAGGCTCCTTGCTTTGTTCAGGCTCACTCTGGGGAGCAGTGCAGCCACAGGAAAACTCGTGACACACGGTGGTTAACTGCACGTCCTCACTACGTGGCATGTTTGCTACTGGGCTCCTTGGCTGAACCATCCAGGGACTGTGAACCTGACGTGTGGATCTTCTCCTTTCCTCCTTCCTGGAGTCATTACTTTGGTCATGTTGAAGTCTTCAGAGACTGGATTAAGCCTCCCATTCCCAAATGACTGGGGCACAGAGGAGAGCTGCCTCATCAGAGATGGAAGCATGCACACCAGGGAGGAGCATGACTGTGGTGACACCGTACAAGGATGCTCTTTGCTACAACACAGTCAGGGATTTCAGATGTCCTTCCTTCCCCCACTTCAGTTCCTTGAAACAAACTGAACTGCTTTTGTCCTGACCGCAAGCACACACTCAATATTCAGTCTCTCCAAGACTTGGGAACATTCCCAAAAGGTGAATTGCTCCCTCCTGAGAAAACAAGTAAGATGGAGGCAAGAATATGCTGAGGCTACAGCCAGTCTTTGAAATAGACCTCTTGACAGACAGCCCAGTTAACCCCTCTGGGGACAGACTTGGCTTTGTCTGTTTTGGAAAAGGGAGGAGCTAGCTCAATGCACCTTGGGAAAAGACCTTCTTCACTGTGGCACTGAGTCCGAGAAGGAAAAACAGTCTTATTTTGGAAAACATATATATTTACTTCCAAAGAGATCATTCCAGGACCAAATACCCCTGGGGAACTCCACATCGTGTGGAAGGAAGGGAAAGTCTACAGTTCTTTGAGTGACCAAAAAAGAAATGATAAAAAAGTAACAGCCCAAAAGACAGCCTCACTGACTGATGAGAGTCAAATTAGTCCGAGAGGAACATCTGCTATGTCCAGCAAGTGCCTCTGTCCATTGGGGTGAGGGGCTATGTTCCCACAGGTGCTGGAAGAAGCCTTGGACCTTCCTGCTCCTGCTGGCTGGGCAGAGCTCAGCCAGTGTCAGATCACAGACACTGAAACAAATGAAACAAGAACAACAAATCCCACTGTGTTCCTCAGCGTTCCCGGTGTATCTCTGCTGCTCTCCCTCTGTGTGTCCCTACAGATGTCTCTGCCTCTTTAGTCTATGGTTCCTGGGTGGATGCTGAGGACTGGTGGCTCTAAGCAAGTGGGAGAGTAGTTGAGGTGAGGCTCTTTGATCCACAGCAAAGGAACACCATTCTTGCCCTCCGAGTTCTTGCTGGAGTTTCGGCTCTTGAACCGCACCAGGAGGATGGTGATGATCAAGATGCCAAAGATGGGGAAGGGGTAGAAGAACACAAAGTAGAAGAGGGCGTCATTGGAGCAGATGACAGACTGCAGCGTGGAGCCTGGAAAAAGACACAGGGTGGTCAATTTCACGGTTTCTCTGTAATCGAAGCATGCAAACTTCCTCAGAAACATAGAAAACCAGATGCTCCTTATTCTATGTCAAAGCAGGAGGTGGAGATCCGGGAAAAATAACAGTGTTAGAATAGGAGAAAGTTGTAACCGACCATGTCTCAGCTTTATTCCCCCAAGAGTTTCATGAGTGTTAAGAGTCCTCCCTGGTGGAGATTTTATACCATCTTATAAAGCAGGGAGCCTTGCAAAGCTTCTGTTCTCTCTGTGGTGCTACACAAAGGCAGCAGCACCTCAGGATCTCCGTATCCCTTAAGGGTCCACAAAACCCTTATGGCCTCAGTTATCTCTGGGGCCTCTAAACCATGTAACAGCTTCAAGAGTTGATGTGAGCAGACCCTTGTGCCGCAGCCTATGCTCTTGTGCAGAGCTAATCCAACTGCCCCCAAAGGGGAGGGTTAAATCTCAGTGGGTGGCAAGGTCCATCCCCACTGGCTTGAGACACACCAGGGTCTCAGTACAGAACAAAGTGCAGCGTGGATACTCGAGGCAGAGCAAGAGCTGATTGGAAAAGTACCAGCACCACAGACTTGCCCCAGTCCTACTCACTCCTTGGTCTTCCCATCTTGGTTGAACCAAAGATGCAGGGGATGCCAGGGCCATGGCCCCAGGCAGCCATCACCTCTTCTCACCTGCATCCTGCACGTGCACAGCGACCATCCCCGACTCCTCCTCGGCCAGCCGGTACCAGACACCGTTGGGATCCGCCAGCCACTCCTCCACTCGGCAGGAGTAGTTACCGGTGTCGGCGCCGCCAGCCTGCAGCACCGTCAGCCGGAAAAGCACTGCCGAGAGCCTCTGGAAGCGCAGGCGGCCTTCCCAGCGACCGGCCTCGGGGCTGAAGATGGCATCAGGGCCCACACTCAGCACAGCTTCCCTCTCCTCCTCCTCCTCCTCCTCGCCCTCCTCCACGTGGTCACTCGCCTCCTTGGCCCGCAGGCTGTACCACGTCACTGCAAAGTGGGACTCTGGGCTG